GCACTGTCCACAGCTTTGGTCTATCTATGCATCCATAGCTTTCTGTTGTATTATTACAGATTGCTAGATCTGAAGCATTGATTCACATGCCCCTGTCAAACACACACGCACACACACACACACACACACACACACGCACACACACACACACACTTTTTTGTCTCAGAAAACAGATACTAGCTAAATGATTGTGCTTTTTCAAGCCTTCTCTACTAGAAGCCCACAAATTATCATTGATCAAGGACTTTCATTAAGTGCATCATTAAGCAAACACTATTCCTGAACATACCCAGACTCTATCTTTCCCAGAAGGGAGCTGAGGAGATGAGGGCAATTCTGTGCTAAGTTCACAGAGGAATATGGCATGAAGAACAGCCCTTCATCTCCATGGGGCCTGCTCTCATCTCCACATGAGCACATAACTGGCAGTGACATAAATCAATTTTTTACGGATTAACACAGACTTCTGTGCAGAAGACAGGCAGGGCCTCCTAGTGACTTGCATCTGAAAAATGATTCTGATTTCTTTTCTTGCCCCTTTCATATAAAATAAATACAAAATCTTGCAGTTAAAAGGCTTCTGAATGATGGCAAAGCTCTGTTGAATGAAGCAACTTGCCAGGCACTGCTTAGTTTTCCTTGCTCCCAGAATTGCCAGTAGAACCATCATCCACACATCTGTTCTATGGGCACCACCTGAGAAGCTATTGTTTCTATTTCAACTGCTAAATTTAGCCACTGACTCCTCATTTACCCTTTGAAGCCCAGCAAAAAGAGGAAATTTGAGGGAGAAAGGCACCTGGAAAAGCAACCCAGTAACAAACATCAAAATGATTGTACCCTGTATGCACTAGCAAAAAAAAATCAGTATCAGTAAAGCCCAGTGGGAGCCAATAGTGTGTGTTTCTTATTCCTGAAACCCCAGCAGGCTCCACTGTACTCACACAGACCAACTTTTGAAATGTAAAGGATAAAAAAGAAGGAAGGGATGATTAACAAAGCAAAAAAAGCATACTTAGATGATGGTTTCATTTTTCAGATAGGCCTTTCCTGCCTCATTAGTATAGTCTGCAGTGGATGAAAGTCCTGAGCATCCAAAGCAGGTAGTAATGGCCCATCAAGAGCTACCATGTCAGCTTCCTAATGCCTTATCAAAGGATTATTGAAGAATACAGTCATCTTGCTACTCTAACAGATTTAAAAGAGTTACATGAAGACAAATGAAATGCCTCTTCACATATTCCCCCAACTATTTCTGACAATATATTTCATGTATAAATCATACTGCTCTGGCAGCATTTTGCTGGGCCTATCGTATTAACAATGGAACCAAGACAAGGTCAGAGGTCTGAGAAAGTGCTTTCTGTTCATTTAAAGATGTAGAATTGTGTTCATAGTATATCAAAGTCAGGGTAGAAGTGGGCTTATGTGCACATTACCTAGAATATTATCAGTGCTAGAACAGCTGGGATTTTGTAATATGGAAAAGTTACCCACATTAGTGGCTTTTTCAACCCAAGTGTCAGTGGACATCTGCCTGTTGGTTCCCATAAAGTAGTAGAAGCTGACTTATCTAGGTACAAGTCTCTGGTGTACTAACATTTTTGCTTTGTTGCCCTCCATTACACCTCCTTACACTTTCTGCTGACTCCAGGCCTTGTACCATAATTAGTTCATTCCCCATCTTTGTTCTCTGCCTCTCTTCAATCACCACTGTGTCCTATTGCTTCTCTGTCATTGTTTGGGATGGATGGCAGCAACTGAGGCAGTCTTGCTATATATTTCATACTGGTCTAGAACTTACTCTGTAATTCTAGATGGCCTTGAACACGCAGTGATCCTTGTGACTCAGTCTTGCAGATGTTTGAAATTATAGGCATGAGCCACCATACTTCTGGTTTGCATCTGTTTTATATATTTTATATAACTTTTAATCTGTTCTCTTGTCTCTGTGCTGTTCCCACTTAGCACCTTATTATCTTTTGTTGGGGTTGTATGATGATCTCCCCATGCTCATCCATGCAGCAGCTCACTGTAGCAAAGCCCTTATGCTGAAACTCTGCTTTGATTACATAACACTCTACTTGCCATTTCCATCACAAAAGTGCGAATATATCCACATTGATTGTCCAAAAGCTTCACTGCCCTGTTCTCACACTTGATGCTACCTCTTCTGATGGTTTAGAGGCCCCACCATCAATTTCTACACCCTTTGCCACTTATCCTCTCCTGCAGCTTAGCTACTCACTGTTCCCTATGCACCCAACAGATGTCTGAGTCACATATGCTTGTTTCAGCTGTCCCGCCATCTTTTCCACTGTGTTCCTACCCTATGCTTATGTGTCCCAATCTCATATAACCCTTTTAGACTAAGTTTAAACGTCAATTTCTCTGTGAAGTCTTATCTGTTTACCATAGCCAGAGTTGACTGTCTCATGTTCTAACTCACCCCAAATCAATTGCTGTCTTTATCTTTTGTGTTTATCATTACCCAGCCTGCAGTGTAATAACTTCTCCACAAAAAATGCACCAGATATTTCAGAAATCGTCTTATTTCCCAAGTGATGGGGGAAGTCCTGCGTATTTGTCAATAAAGCACTGTTGGCCAATAGGGAACCAAGATAGGTGGGACTAGGAGTTCAGGAGGACTCTGGGAAGGAGAAACACAGGAAGTCAAGATGTAACACCATGGGGTAGGAAGCCCAGAACCTTCTCCGGTAAGAGACATACTTAGATTAACAATTATGGGGGTAATTACTTAAGTCAGAGCTAGCCAGTAAGAAACAAGCAAGGCCAACAGCTTCATAATTAATATAGCCTCCTGTGTGTTTATTTGGGACTGATGTGGCTCTGGAACCAGGCTGGCGGGAAGGCTTCTCTTTACACCCAAGTTCTATTATCTTCATGTTTACAGTTTCTCAGAATTTCTGATGAAATCTAGTCTCCTATGTGACTTCAAAAGAGGTAGAGACTTTGAAGGTAATTAGGTCATCAGGGCAGAAAGCTCATGGAGGGGATCAGTGTCCTAACAAAAGAAACCAGGGCATCTTAGCAACCCCATTCTTCTCATGAGGACTGAGTGACAAGACATCAACTGTAAACCAGGAAATGGAACCTCACCAGAAACTAAACCAACCAGAACTCAGAGACATAAGGCCCTCCTTTCAAGTCATCCCATTTATAGTATTCTGTTATTGCTGCTTGAAAAGACTAAGAAATCTTGTCTATATGTTCTTTTAAACAACTCTCTTATATAGCTGTGGTTTTCAAATGAAGAAACTAAAGCTTACAGCATGTTGCCTGTTATCTGATATGGCACATCTTTTGGCAGATGATGGAGTTGAATCTAAGTTTGCTTATTCAGCTCTGAATGCTTGCAATTCTGGCCTACCCCTATGGGAAAAAAGTGATGTTAGGGCTTTTTTTATTTTGTTTTGTTTTGTTTTTTGACAAAGGGAGACAGTTTCTAATTATGGTGATAGTTACTTGATTCAGTTTCTTATTCCTATTCGTTTAATCCAGATGGTCTGTGTACATAAAAACTATGGGAGAGTGGAAAAGATAGGAGTTACCTAGATTTTATCACACTGCATTTATGCTTCTTTGGTAAATCATTTAATAATAAATAAATAAATTTATCTTATAGATCTAACTGGTTTTTAATTGTTCTAGAATAGGTAAAAAACTTACATTTAATAATATATTAGATTGAATATTTCTCTGGACAGAAGTTTTTAAAGTGGGAACAGTTTTCCATTTCAGAGAAATTTAGTCTAATTGATTCTATTTTAATATGTTTGGTCTTTCCTGGACTAGGTGCAATAGGCAGTCTAACCCAGTGACTTCTTATATACTTCAGTGTCATTTGCCAACATGAAGAGGAAAATACACTAGCCAAACACAAATGAGGTTTCTAAGCAATATCAGAGGATCAATCCCTGATAACTCTTTCCTTATCCCCTTTGGTTATGCCCTGAGTCTGGCTGTTATCAAAGCAGAGAAGAATTCTGACATTAAATTTTCCTACACCGTAGCTGGGCGGGGGTGGCTCATGCCTTTAATCCTAGCACTCGGGAGGCAGAGGCAGGCAGATCTCTGTGAGTTGGAGGTCCAGCTGGATGGACAGCCTCCAAAACAATACAGAGAAACCCTGTCTCATAAAAACCAAAAAAAAATTCCTACACCCGCCACCAGTGTTTCCCTCGATACATCCTAGGAGAAATCAGCCAAGCAGATTGTTTTCCAATAACTTCTCTTTTTCTTTTTTCTCATCTTTTGCCCTTTTAATTTACCTTTATCTTAAAGCAGACTTTTAAATTTAGCCTTTAAAGTTATAATACAAAGAAATGTGTTTTGCTATGGCATTTATATGCTTTGTTCTTATTAGTTCTCCCCCCATCTACCTCTCCTCTGTTTGCTGGTGCCCTTCCTCCCAACATCCACATCTTATTTGTGTTTTTGTGTGTTTTCTAAGGTTTAATAAATTAGAAGTGCTCGAGATGCCCTTATAAGATTGCATTTTCAAAAACTGCTCCAAGCAAATTATAAGGCATTTAACCTCTGATCCTGTTTTGTCCATAGCTCTGAACAGAGCACACCCAAGGATCTGATTCATTTATTTGTAGTTAAAAATAACACTTATTTTGTGAAAAAGGCAAATTTGTGGTAGGGTAAGTTTGTAGTGAGTATGCTAATTTAACTCCATTGACAAGAGCATAGTGCTCAACAGACTAGTGGTTCCAGGTTTAAATCTATGTGCAGTTTTTGGCCCTTTTGTTCCATCAAGTTCCCAATTTGTTTGTCATAGATCATTTTTTCCTGGATACTTACTAAGAGACTGAATTATTGCTTACAAGTGGAAATGGAAAATAAAGATTGGGATTAGGTAGGCTATTTCAAAAAGTAGAGAAAACAAAAGACTATAAAGATCAATAATTTTTCAAAGTGACGGCTTATTCCCTCCATGAAATCCCCCACCCAGACCAAGAAATGCGAAATTACCTGGTTCCCAGAGGTCTTCCACATGGCCCTATTTGGCTGTTCTATTCTCCACTCAAGGGAGTATGAGTTTTTACCAAAAATAGTCAATTAAAGAGAACAAGAAACTTGTAGAACTCAACCTGTTTGGGAGGCAAACAAAACAATGAATAAGAAGAGAATACATGGTTTTAGATTATAGGTTAATCTCTTTTTCTACCAACAACATGGCAAAAATACAAATATCATGCTTTGAGCAGACATGTCAAGCTTTTTAAATTATTAAACTAAAAGTAGTAACAATAGATGGACTTAGTATAATGGAAATATATGATTGCATAAAAGTTGCTTTATTGGAATTTTTCATATTCCTTCACTGTAAAAGTAAAACGTCTTGCATCAAAATTCTGTTTTGATCATTAAATGAAATAATGAATTTAACTATGTAAACTTTATAGGTGTTTAATGAATAAGCATTGCAAATTCAATTACTGTCAACTGCTCATCTACTACAAACATGTGTGTGAGCAACCTGCTTCTGTATTGTTTACTAAAATCATGTGAAATGTTTTGGCTGAGTAATAATAAATGCCTATTTCAATTCAGAATTTGATGCTGCATTACAACTCTATGACAACAGACTTGTATATTTTATTTAACAAACAATTATCCTTATTAATTCAGCAAGAAAAAGTTTTAATTCAAACAGTTGTTATTTGAGCAGTGTGAATCCAGGGTGACACCTGAGAAAACACCACAGTGACCCTTCTAAACTCATGGGCATTGCTTGAATCTTGAAGACTAGTCCCTCTCTATATCAACGGGCCTCATTTCCAGCCTCTGAAAATTCATTTGACATGGGCTGTAAGTGCCTTAATTGCTGTCCAACCTTTCATCTACATCAATAGCAGCTGCAACAAGAAAGCAAGTTTTGTGGTTACTTTCACCAACAGCTACAAGGCCTGTTTTTACAAACTTCCTTGCAGACCAGGCCACAGATAGCCAACACTTAACTCTACCTCCTTCATCAAATAACTGACATGTTTCTGAGCAATCAAGATACAATCTAAGCTCTGCCACTTACAATTAGAACTGCAACCAATCACTGAGCAGATACTGGCATCCATTCCCCTTATGGAGGGCTGCAGAAGGAGGGTTGGGGAAACAGAACATCGTCTGAAATATGTGACAAGTAAACTGAAAAAGAGGAGAGCACCAAGTTCACAATACCCTCTTCATAGTGTGAGTACTCAGGTCTCATTGTCATCTCTCTGTAGCCATGTACATCTTTTTTGTTATTATTACATTTTTTTGTATTTTTAAGTTTAAATTTAGATTAGAAACATGGCTGGTTCACAAGTCAGTTCCAGGTCCCTCTCCATTTCCCTCCCCTTCTCCCATGCCCTCCCCCCAACTCTCCCATTATCCCCTCATTTCCCCAGGGAGGGTGATGCCCTCCATGGGGGTGTCCATAGACTGTCATTTCATCCAGGGTAGGGCCTAGACCCTCCCCCCAAGAGTTCAGGGTGAGAGTTCATCTCACATTGTTGGATGGGAGTCCAAAGTCCATGTGTATACTCAGGATGAATACTGATCTACTGCCCAAGGCTCAATAGATTACCTAGGCCTCCTCACTGACACCCCCATTCAGGGGGTCTTGATCTGTCCCATGTTTGATTCCCAGGCATCAGCCTGGCATTCAAGAGTTAACCCTTGTCAGGTCAGCTGTTTCTGGGGTTAAGAAGCTGACAAAGAATCGCCTTTTCTGGTCATCTAAAGAATACTTAGTACTCCTCCATCTCTACAACTGAATTCCAGGAATTCAGCTCAGTGCTTAGCTGTTAATCTCAGCTTCTTCTTCCATCAGGTACTGGATGAAGGCTCTAAGATGGCATATAAGGTAGTCATCAATCTCATTATAGGTGAAGGACATTTAAGGTAGCCCCTCCACCATTGCTTAAATTCTTAGTTGGGGTCATCCTTGTAGATCTCTGGACTTTTCCATAGGGACAGATTTCTCTTTAAACCTATAATGGCTCACTCTATTAAGGTATCTCTTTTCTTGCTCTCCTCTATTCCTCACCTGACTCAATCTTCCTGATCCCTTATGGTCTCCTTTCTCCTCCTCTTCTCCCCTCCTCTTTCTCCTACCACCCTCCCGCAGCTCTTGTGCTTCCAATTTGTTCAGGTGATCTTGTCAGTTTCCCCTTCCCTGGGGGACTATGTATGTCTCTCTTAGGGTCCTCCTCGTTTCTTAGCTTCTCTGGCAGTGTGGATTGTAGCCTGGAGGAGTGATGAGCAAAAGGGTCAAGACCATGATGGGCTGACCTGAGCAAGTGGGAGCTCATGGACCCCAGCCCTACATCTGGGGAACCAGAATAGGATGGAACCAGGCCTCCTGAACTTGGATGACACTTAGGAGTTCTGGGATGTCTATGGGACCTCTTGCAGTGGAACCAGTATTTATTCCTAGTGTGTAAATGGACTTTGGGAGCCCATTCCTCCATGGCGGGATACTCTCTCAGCCTAAATGCATGTGAGAGGGCCTAGCCCTGCCAATGATGTGCCAGATTTTGATGATCCCCCATGGAATGGATATGGAGTGGGATGGGAAGGGGGGAATGAGGGTGTTGGTGAGAGGCATGGGAAAATGGGAAGGAGAGGGAACTTGGATTGATATGTAAAATAAAATTTTTTTCTAATTTAAATAAAAAATATCAAATAGAACAAAAGAATACTTAGCACTAAGTACAGAGTTGTGATTGATTCTACCTTCTATAAAATTGACATCAGTATTTACATCTTCTATAATTCTTTGTTCGTAGCCCTCCTAAGAACACTTGATAATACATGTGAGAATGGATCCTGCTTCCAGATAAAAGCAAATATATGTCGTACCAGGCTTTTCCCCCCCAACAGCTAGCTCACAAATAATGACAATGAGGCATTAGTTTTGAATGCTTGGCCTTAGCTTAGCTCTTATTTTAATGTTTCTTTTTATCCATGTTTTGCCTTGGGGATTATTACCTTTCATTCTTTCTGTATATCTTACTTTACTGCTGTCTCCATGTCTGGGTGGCAGCTGTCTGGCCCCAGGTATGCCTCTGTCTTTCTCCCCAATTTCTTCTTTCTTCTTCCATCCTATCATTCTTCTCAATGCTAGATTTCTCCCCCTACTTATTCTCTCTGGTTGCCAGCTCTGCCTATCCCTCTGCTGCCTAGAATTAGCCATTCAGCTTATTACACCAATCATCAGAGGCCTTAGGCAGGCAAGATGAAACAAATGTAACACATCTTCTTCTAATTAAACAAATACAACATAAACAAATGTAGCAGACCTTTACACAGTTAAAATAATATTCTGAGCCGGGCATTGGTGGCACACACCTTTAATCCCAGCACTCCGAAGGCAGAGGCAGGCGGATCTCTGTGAGTTGGAGGCCAACCTGGTCTACACAGTGAGTTCCAGGACAGCCTCCAAAACAATACAGAGAAACCCTGTCTGAAAAAACAAAAAAAGTAATATTCTGCAGGGTAAACAAATGTAACATACCTTTACATAGTTAAATATTACACAGCATTGTGTTCTTTGCCTTTTACAATGCTGGGCTCCACTGTCACCAAATTCCATCTTACCTTTGTCTCACACAGCCTCAAATGTCCTATGAGTATCATCTTTGCCCTCTAAAATTACACAGGGGTTTACTCAGCAGGGCTGAACATTCATGTGGGGGTCTTCTTGCCATGGCAGCTTGGTGATCCCTCCTTGCAAATTATTTTACTCATGCTAAAGTATATTCTTTACTTTAGGAGCTTCAAGGTTGTCCTACAACTATCCCTCAAGTTACCTTTCAGTCTTGCATTACATAATCTCTTTGATGTCTAGGTTGCTCTAGAGTACTCTTCCATTTGCTTCATGTTCCATCAGCTTCCATGTCTAACACTTTTTTTCAAAGTGGATAATTCTGTTCTCTGTCTTTTTCTTTGGTTTGGCTTTCTGGCAGTTGAATCCACACCAAATTCTAATGTCAACTCTATATTAGAATTTGGTGCTCTCTCCCTCTCCCCACCTCTCATTTAGTATATACTTCTTTGATGACAAATCTCCTTTAAGTATTATTTATAGTGAATGTGCTTGTTTTATGCACTATGCTCAGTAATAATGCTATATTTTCCTTCTGTGCTGGTATCATTATAACTACCCTGAGTGCTAAACAGGCTCAAGTTCTACCCTCTAAATGTATTATCATAGATTTCAAGAACCTTAAAATGTGTTTATATAACTATTAAACTGGTTATAACCTGAAAGTAGGGATTTCTTATTAACTTTTTCTTTCTGAAAGAAGTTTATGATGTGAAACAAGTTCATAGTAATTAGCTGAGAATCCTTTTCTAGGATTCATCAAATTAGTAAAGACTTCATTAGTTAGATCACACCAAACTCATTATTGGTTCATATGTGATTGATTCTGCTCTCATTAAATAGGAATTAAAATATTTTCTTGGTGATCATTATTTTAACATGCATTTTAATATGTATTGATGGCAGTGTAATGACTTCAGGAACAAATCTATCAAAGATTAAAAATTACTTTTTCTTTAATACCAATTATTAAGGGTCAATTGACGTTTTCATTTTAAGATGTGATTTTCAGGTATCACAGGCTCAGTCATGAGCTGAATGTGAAATTCTGGACTCTGAGAGACAAGTCATAGAAACCACGCCAATTTTAGAAATTAAAAACAGTCTATTGCTTTTTGGGGGGTTGGCCATGAAAAGAGATAATCATATATAGAATTGATTTGCTTTAGGGGAATGCTTTTGCTGTTCTAATAGCAAACCAGATTTATTTTCAGAATTGAAATATTTCTCCCAATAATTCCTGAGGGTTGCTCTGTGAATGATCCTTGCACATTTGGCCATCACTTTGCCCTTTCACATTATGCTGCCACTCACAACCTTCCTGAAACCAAGTAGTCAGGAGCCTCCTATAGTGAAAAGAGGTGGAGTGACCCCCCCATACACACACATTAAGGGGAGACGTTTTAGATGCCTGATCTGCTTTCTAGCCATTTAGTTCATTTAACACCTTATCAAGTCAAGTCATTTACTGAGCATTAAAATTAATGTTCAAAAACATTAAATGTAAGTGAACATATCCTGGAGATTTAATCATTCTGTCTAATCAGCCTAAAGGGTCCAAAAGCTACACAAGCAGTCTATAGAAGGAGTTACACCCAAAAGGTCAAAGGATGTTGACTATTCTAACAACAGATCACAGGCTTCAAAACAAAGGCCACTCAAAAGTGACAGCTTCTAGTCATGGTGATGTATGGAAAATGTCTTGGATGACCTGAAGTGGTAACCCACAATGTAGTGACTTATCTGTGAGGAAGAATAGTGGAGAAGAATCAGGAAAACAGTAATCGGGTTATGAAACATAATATATGCCTAGAAACAAGTGTCAGTTTCACCCAGACAGTCTGTTTAGCCATGAAAAATTGGATCAACATGAATGAATGGAGTTCTGAAAGTTCAAAAGGTTTTATCTTAGAAAAAAGGGCTGCTTTTGTAAAATCAAGAAGCATGCAACACTATTACATCCAAATGTCTCCCATTACCACTCAGTATATTTTTACCTAAAATTTATAGCAGTTTGAGGTTGTTTTCCTCAAACCTTTCTAAGAAACCCTTTTAATTTGAAACTTGGAAAAAAATTAATTCCAAACTGATATCCACAAGCAACTACTACCTCATATTGCAAGCTCCACTTTCAAATGGGATTCAATTTTTGTCCATTTTCAGCCTGAATCCTTTTGTTCTGTATAGGAGAACTGTACATTTCTATTTCCATTGCATTTTGTACTCCTCTTGTTAGGACTTCTAGCCTCTGTAAGAGAAATTCAACCTTTTGAAGGCAGATTAATACAAATCAGAAATAACAGATTTCTCAAGAACACACATAGCTACCCTGAGTTCACCAAGAGCAGTGAATATGAAAAAGAAGAGTCTAACATGGCATACAATTGTATTTATTGTATCAACATTATAGTCACTTGGATTGAAAAGTTAAATTCACATAGCAATTCGCTTATTACACCAAAACCCCAAGGCTTATTTCATGTTGGAAAATGTTCATGTGCCTTCCAGATGCTGAAAACATGAGGCAATCACCATGATGTCTGTTGTAGGGAGTGTCCCTTAGAAAATTTCTTACCAAAGTGGTTTTTGCTATGGCAGTTGAGGGCTGACTCAATGAAATATTTTGTGTTGCTTGAGAAGGCTTTAAAACGCAGTTTTCACAGTGAACATGTAGGAGGGAGTAGACCTTGATTACATAATTAGCTTCTGCTGAAATTAGGCTAAGTGACAAGTTATTTTGTTGCCACTTTTAACTCTATCCCTCTATGGTAAAAATTGTACTAACATCACGCACACGCAGGCATGCATGCATGCACACAGAGATTTCATTGAAAGTAGATCTGCCTTTCGCTCATCCTGTTAAATAAAATTCTCTACTTGTTTCAAAATATGAATCTTTTTAGTTAGATAAATACAGATAAAAACCATGCATCCAGTGAACTCAAACGCAACATTTTGGCTTAAAACTGAGAGGATACTCCATCTACTTATAATGCTGCACACCCACGGCCAAGATGGTTTAAACTGGTTCTATGTTTTAAAATGATTGAGAGCACTCGTTTTCTCTGGCCGAAGGAAAGTTATGATAGTTTAGTTGTACTTAACATTTGAAACTTCGACATTATTGCTTGGGTCCAGTTCCAGGTTGGGGTGGGAGGTGGAATGGGGTAGGCGATCAGTTCAGGCTGGTTTCCAATTCAATCTTGTTTGCAAGTAGGGAAACCTGATCCCAGCTACACAAGGCTCAACATAAAAGACCTTTGCTATTTGGGGTGAAGGTCTCCAATTCTTTTTTTAAAAGGGAAAACCTGGAGTCAATTCATCTACGTGAAGGGCATGTTTTTTCAGTTTAAGTCTCAAAGGGAAAAAACTCCTGTAGACATATTCTTTTGGTTACAATCTATTTTAACCTTTTCCAGGCAAGGGAACTTTTCCTCCCCAGTTTCCAATCTATAAATATGACTGATGCATAGTGACAGCCTTTTCCAGATCATTAAATCATAAAGTTTGTTGTTTTTCCATCCAGTATTAACCAAAATGGTGCCTTTATTTACAGGGATTCACCTGTATTCAAAACACAGGCACACATATATTTTGTCCTTCATAAGATCAGGTGATTTATCTATGTGATTATTCCTTACTCACAGAATATATATTATTGTAATACTCAAATGTGAGATATGTAAAAATGAAAGTCACATAGAAGATGAAGAGAAATGAACCGATGGAAAAAAATAAGCACACAGGAAAGAAAATCAAATTTTGTCCCACAGATACATGCATACTTGGCCTAAATGTGGTAGAATGGAGGCAAATGGGCATGTTTCTATTCTAAGAACTGTATCAATCCATTGGTTAGTATAACAGGTCACGTTTTATAAACACAACTAAAACCTTTAATGCAACCAGGATGATCATAGCCAAAATTAAATGCATAAGAGATTGGCTGCTAGGTGTAATGCATTATATTTGTAAAGCCAGAAAAAGAAGGTCTCTCTGGGGAGGAAGCAAACTGCTACATCATTAGTGAATTGGCCCTTCTCACTTTATGAGGTGTGTGACATAATTAAAAAGTAGTTTATACATGAATGTATGGTCCATAAATCAACAGATAAAGGTAGTCATATCTTTTGTAAATGACAGTATAGCATTGGTTAAATGACTATTTCCTTACTAATGATATTAAATTCAGAAATTGTTTCTAACCATTACAGATTTTTATGAGGATAATTTATAACTGAATCCATACAATATTTCATAGAGAAACTGGAAAACAAGAAGGACCCTAAGAGAGACATACATGGTCAGGCCTAGAATTGGAAAGTAACAATAGCTCCTGATACAATTGTGAGCACATAGGTGGGATAGATGAGGGACATAGGAAAAAGAGAAGGGGAGAAGAGGAGTGTAAAGAACATGAGGGAGCTGTAAAGCTGAATCAGGGGAAGAATAGAGGAGAGAAAGAAAAGAGATACCTTAATAGAGGGAGCCATTATAGGTTTAAAGAGAAATGTGGCACCAGGGAAATGCCCAAACATCTGCAAGAATGACCCCAACTAAGAATCTAAGCAAGAAGTGGAGAGGCTACCTTAAATGTCCCTGACCTATAATGAGATTGATGACTACCTTATATGCCATCCTAGAGCCATCAACCAGTGGCTGATGGAAGTAGAAGCAAACACACACAGCTAAACACTGAGATAACCTCCTGGAATTCAGTTATAGAGAGGGAGGAGTGATGAGAAAATGGGTCAAGAACATGCTGAAGAAACCCACAATAACAGATGATCTGAGCAAGTGGAAGCTCATGGGCACCAGTCGTAAAACTGGGGAACCAGGATTGGACTGAATCAAGCCTTCTGAACGTGAGTGTCAGTTAGGAGACCTGGGCAGTCTATGGGGACTCTGGCAGTGGAGGACAATGCTTACAATCTACCTCTTCCATCCAATTTTGAGGCTGAAATATTTAGGATGAATATCCCCCACTATCCAGAAACTATACATTTCTGTCTCTGGAGCTCTTTCAGTGTAGGATACAAATCCCCAAACTAACTGCATAACAACACATCCCCAAGTGCTTTCAGAATTTTAAGGTTTGCATAATTGTGGGAAAATATGAGGGTTGTTATTTGATAATTTCTATGATCTTTATTTATATGTATGTGTTTCTTATTTTTAGTATGCCTAATAAACCCATAATCACAATACAACATAAATGATATACTCTACTGTAAGACCAAAGGATATGTGGATTCCTGGCTCAAGATAGTAGGTCCTTAATAAATGAATAAGGAGAATGATTGAACCAGAACAGAAAAGAATAGAGAAATGACCAGATAACAGGAAATTATAGGAAAGAGTAAATAAATGATCCTAAGAAAATTCTCAGGAAAAAAGTTTTGCAGAAACTTTTGTAAAACTTGGAAAACTCCTTAAAATTGTGTAGTTAGAAATTGGAGTCCCTAGTGCATTATCTGCTTTAAATAATTTATAATATATATGAGAGAAATAGCACAAGCAAAGCACATAGACATGTTTTCCAAAATTGTGACTACCCTTGAAGAAGAGCCTCAGGCATGTCCTATAGGGCTTGCTTCTGAAGGAGGCTTTTTAATCCAAAGGGATGACAGCTCCATAGGTTTGTTGCCTACCTTCTAACAGGACAAAATTTGTAGGAAAAGGAAGCAATATTGATTCTTTCAGTATGTAAGAGCCTAGGCCAATGAATTTGTTTATCTTGCTCTTTTAAACTTAAATAAAGAAATTATTCAACCCTTTCTCCATAGCATTAAAAGCACAGAAAATATGTTTTGAAGGAAAGAAAGAAACATAAAGCATCACTGGTAAAAACAAAGGAAGTAGACCAAAATGCTATGTAATTCCTAGAAAACAAAAAAAAGATTGAGCGAAAACTGAAGAAATATACACAGTGGAAATCTCTTCAAGCTTATGAGCAAATGATATAAGTAGTTTCAGAGATACCAGTATTAATGTTGGGTAATTAATTGTGGAACTACCTCCAAAAAGGTTCCAGAAAATGACATGAGAAAGATAATGGATAGGGAATGACAATTAAAAATGATAGGAGACAATTTTCCAGAATCAAAGAAACACATGACACTTCAGTTCTAATAGATTGTCAAGCATGAAAAAAAATGTATTAGGAGTGTGGGCTCTACTTGGGCCCAAATCCCACCATCACCTCCTCTTTGGATCTTCCTGGGCCTGCTCCTTGCTTAGAGTGGACCCAGCCAAGCAGGAAGAATCACCCTGAGTCTGGCCACAACTCATTATTGGCCCCGCCTCTGTCTTCTGCCCTCTGCCCTCTGCCCTCTGCACTCCGACCTCCACTGGCATCCACATTTATAAAAGAAACATTGCTAAAACTCAAATCACACATAAAACCTCACCCACTTATAGTGGGAAACTTCAACACCCCACTCTCACAATTAGATAGGACCACCAGACAGAAACTTAACAAACAAACAAAGGAACTATTAGAAGTTATGACCCAATTGGGTTTGACAGGCATTTATAGAACATTCCATCCTAACACAAAAGACTATACCTTCTTCTCGGCACCACATGGAAACTTCTACATACTCAACAATACAGCAAACGTCAATACGTACAAAAAATTGGAATAACCCTCTTGTATCTTATTAGACCACCATGATTTAAAGCTAGAATTTAACCACACAAATTGCAGAAATCCTACATACTCATGGAAATTGAACAATGCACAATTGCACCACTCTTGGTTCAAGGAAGAATAAAAAAAGAAATTAAAGACTTCCTAGAATTCAATGAAAATGAAGACACAACATACCCAAACTTACGGGATACTTTGAAAGTAGTGCTAAGAGAAAAGTTCATAGCACTAAGTGCCCAAGTGAGGAAACTGGAGAATAGTTACAATAGAGAATTAACAGCACAACTGAAAACTCTAGAACAAAAAGAAGCAAACTCACCCTGGAGTTGATACCAGGAAATAATCAAAGAGAGGGCAGAAACCAATAAGGTACAAACTAGAAGAACAAAAAAAATCAATGAAACAAAGAGTTGGTTGATGGGGGAAGTCCTGTACATTTGTTAATAAAGCACTGTCTGGCCAATAGGAATCTAGATAGGTGGGGCTAGGAATCCAGGAGGATTCTGGGAAGGAGAAACACGAGGAGTCGACATGTGACGCCATGGGGTAGGAAGCCCGGAACTATTCTCCGCAAGCAGAGACTCGCGGCTGGCTTAAGTT